CCGCCTAGACCAAACAATTCTTGATATATCGATAGCTTTCCAAATATACCCTTGAAATTCTTCATTTCTGACTTCTGATTTGACTGGGTTGTTATACTTCGAATATGAAGTTGTTACGTGTAAAGGCGTTGTCAAACTCAGAGTACATGTGGCATCTTTAAACCTTAGGTTTTAATTACGCTCTAATGACATACATGAACAACCGGCTTATATTATCGTTTATCATATAATAGACATGAAACAGCTGTGGAAATCAGCCCATACTCACTGCTGAAGTGAATTGGACTAAATGAAAACAGAATGTTAGAGTAGCATCATGTTTTGGTTATGTATGAAGATGGTAGTTTACTAGCTACTAAACGATGGGTATTTTAATAACGGGTATGTACACGAACTCTCTTCTTGATTTATGCATACTGTGTTGGGAAAGCATGAAAATGCGATTTTTCTGTAACAGAGAAACAAAAATAAAGACGATGAACTTTGAGCTATTGAGTTTGTAGTATCAGTTTATATGTTAAGCCCATATACTTTATTCTAGTTGCTGGCCAAGCCAATTCGCCTATCCATTATGAGTCATATTTTGATCTTGTTAATTATTCGCTTACTAACCTTGACTACCTTGTTATATGAGCGCATGTGTATGTACCCTTCTTATCCTACCTATCACATGTCTGTCATTCATTTTTGTCCGACTATAAATGTTGATTAACGCTTGCTTAAATCGAGTTGGCTTCCCAGCCATCTCCAGTACGTATTATCTTTCGCTTCACTCTCGAGTTGGCTTCCCAGCCATCTCCAATACGCATTGTTCTCGCTTCGCTCTCAAGTTGGCTTCCCAGCCATCTCCAATACGCATTGTTCTCGCTTCGCTCTCAAGTTGGCTTCCCAGCCATCTCCAATACGCATTGTTTTTGCCTCGCTCTCGAGTTGGCTTCCCAGCCATCTCCAATACGCATTATTTAGCTTCGCTCTCGAGTTGGCTTCCCAGCCATCTCCAATACGCATCATCTTTGCTTCGCTTGCTTACAGTTGCTCATGTGCTTACAACTTTCTGGTCTGCATCGATTATCAATAAAAATGTAGTTGCCGCTTCCCTTTGCCTTCTGATATTATACACCGTTAAGATTGGTATTAATAACGGTTATCGAAGCGAACTATGATCGAAGCACGGCACTACAAAACTGGTAATCCCGACGTACGAACACGCAACACAATTAGCGATCCCGACTTACGAACGCGAAAACATAATTGGATGTCTCGCCGAACGAACATCGACCAGAATCGACAACCTCGACGTACGAACTCACAACATAATTGGCACGCCGTATTTGGAACACGCGACAGAATCGGCAACCGCAACGAGCGAACACAAACCAAAAATGGAACCGTCGACGACATATTTCGTTATGATTCAAATAATCATCACAAGCTCATTATTACAATAATTTCATATCATCAACTAACGTGGAATTATTATTTTTGTTCGTATTAACACTAAACTATGACATTCACGCAGTCGAATCACTAATCGGACAAATTATAATGATATGGACATTACACGTTATGATATTCGAAACTCACTGGATTATTTTTATTATCCAATGACGTACAATTTTCCTGATTCAAGTGAGTTCGTTCCAATTTTTTTTTCATGTCATTTTCGGTCTAATATTACACTCTATCATAGACATAAGTTTGGAGTCACACTCCCGGTAGTAGGAACTTATGTTCTCGATGCAACTAATGTTCATTTATTTCATTGGTACGCAGCAACCGTCGTCCCCTACATTCTCAGCGACAACCTGAACCGAACTTTCGCAATTTTTGTTTTACGATGATCCCTACTTTAATGTCTATACACAAGTCAAGTATTCGACGCCGCATTACCAGCCGATTAGTAATGATTATGCTCATATTATCTATTTATTCACATTTATATCTGAATGCTGCATCATCCATTACCGATAATCACTATTCGATCGCTGCAATTAATATCCTATTTCCATTGCACTATACACCAGAACATAGAGTTTAGAGCTAGTCTCTCAAAGATACACTCTTGTTCGTCACATTCAAGTCAGTCTCACTCACTGTCATCGATAATCATATGTATTGGTATTTTTATTATGCCTTAAAACGGTTTCGTAACAAACGAGGTTGAGCGCATATCCCTCTAACCACACAAACCACGCAAGTCTTCATGACCAAATAGGAATACGACTCCGCATGTCTCGTTTCATCAGTCACTATCTTGTTCCTCTGGTCATTCTACTAATACATATTTAACGATAACTTGACGCACACGACAACGTACACTGACTTCGCATTTTATTATCATTATCAATTGCAGTACAGCAATGAATATCAAACGCCGATGCAGTCATCATCCTACGGCTGGATTATTTTTTATCCCACATGAACTCCAATCGTGTAAATTCGAATCCACTCATCGCCAATCGACTCTATTTACTCGACTGCAGCTTATCAGAACATATTCCACTGTTCTTTATCGTCATATTCAGTCGGCACCATAGACCAATTTCTGTTATATTCTATTTTCACGATATTTCAAATTGCTTACACGAACCTGTTATTTTATCATTCAGACAGTCACCACATATATGCATGTTAAATTTTTTTTCGTACGCTTACTAATGTACTCATAATCACATGCTAGCATTTCAATTTTTTGTCCGCATCTTGACAACATTCATGTACATTTTTACGTAAGTATGACACTTTCGCTTAATACGCTCACCCCTCACATGACACTGTAATTTATCAGGTATTGTACCATTTTTCCCACATTTTGACGTTATCCTCATACCGCTTCAGTGTCATTTTTCGAAAACAGACATTTTTTTAAATAAATGTGCTATTTTCTACAAGGGGGCTATGTAGTATCAGTTTATATGTTAAGCCCATATACTTTATTCTAGTTGCTGGCCAAGCCAATTCGCCTATCCATTATGAGTCATATTTTGATCTTGTTAATTATTCGCTTACTAACCTTGACTACCTTGTTATATGAGCGCATGTGTATGTACCCTTCTTATCCTACCTATCACATGTCTGTCATTCATTTTTGTCCGACTATAAATGTTGATTAACGCTTGCTTAAATCGAGTTGGCTTCCCAGCCATCTCCAGTACGTATTATCTTTCGCTTCACTCTCGAGTTGGCTTCCCAGCCATCTCCAATACGCATTGTTCTCGCTTCGCTCTCAAGTTGGCTTCCCAGCCATCTCCAATACGCATTGTTCTCGCTTCGCTCTCAAGTTGGCTTCCCAGCCATCTCCAATACGCATTGTTTTTGCCTCGCTCTCGAGTTGGCTTCCCAGCCATCTCCAATACGCATTATTTAGCTTCGCTCTCGAGTTGGCTTCCCAGCCATCTCCAATACGCATCATCTTTGCTTCGCTTGCTTACAGTTGCTCATGTGCTTACAACTTTCTGGTCTGCATCGATTATCAATAAAAATGTAGTTGCCGCTTCCCTTTGCCTTCTGATATTATACACCGTTAAGATTGGTATTAATAACGGTTATCGAAGCGAACTATGATCGAAGCACGGCACTACAAGTTCACTCAAGTTTATGCACTTGTAACACAGGAAGTTAACTATGTAAAGGTAATAAAACCCATACACCAAGAATCAAATATAACACGTATTATCATGATAGCTGTGTGTTGAGCGCTCATAAGAAGAAAAATGTACAACTTCCCAGGAATACCATATTTGTTTTCAAACGACTAACTTATCAACAGACGAGTACCTAAGCTAAAACAAACATCCATGAATCATCAGTTACATTCTGTACATCAAGGGAAGATAAAATCACGAGCTACTTGGATTTCCTCTGCACTGAAGTGAACGAGGAGAAAATAGCCCTTTCGTACTTAGATGGTATTCCGTCAATCAGACAAAAACATTCTGACAGGGTGTTCTTTGTGCTAGATGATTGAAAATTTTGGAAAAGACCATAGTTTGTGAATGAACCATTCAGATTCAAGATGGTGAGTCCCGGATTTTGGAGTAAAAATCACTCACTCGTACAGCTGAATAGCATTATACCTCATGGTAGTTTATGATGAAAACCTATCTTCTAACTCTAAACCTCCATCCTGATTTCTCACCACCTAGTAGGGAAATGAATTCTATCAAGATCATTTTGGCGTCGCTCAAAGGTCAACCATAGATTATAGTCTAACAAGTATATTCTCACAATACTTAAAGTAACGCATTTGTCTATGATGTGTCTCTAGTTCGTACACTAACCAGGTACTAAGAGTTGAGGTGACTGCAGCACTAGCTTATTCATCTATTTCAGTGACCTTTGAAGAATGAATTGACACGCTTCGAAAACTTATCAGCCGCATATTTCGTTTTGGAATTAAACGATTCAAGTTTGAAACATTATGATACGGTCCTCATTGACCCCGTGAACATGAATCAATGTGTATGTCTGTTCTTTTGTCTAGTTTCTAAACTCTGATGATTCCAAGTACTGTGGGAAATGTCTAATTTATAAACAGTCGTGCAAGACAAATATGAATTATTCTAACACGGTAAGGACCCAAAGATTATTGATAAAATGACTTTAACTTGGGTACTTTATTACCCTCATTAAGGTATTTAAAAGTTGAAAAAGTTGCGGTGACAAAGAAGAACACTGGTAGTAGAATAATGACTGAAAGTGCTATTTATTAGGTCAAAATCATGTGCATTATAAAACCAACTGACACCGAACAACACCAACTACTATCGTATTCGAGTTATATATCTTTTTTAAATAAATTTATATATTTGTATATCGCTTGTTTTGACAGTATCATTACAAAAGTGCTATTACGATAAAATCTTAAAGCAAGTTGGCTATAAAGAAACAAATAAGTCGAATGTTCTGTTCATAATTATCAAGGCATTCAAATAAGTTAAAGCATGTGGATCTTTTATATAATCGATCGAGTTATCGGAAATTGATGGAATGAATATTTTTTAACCTGATTTCCAAACATATGTACCAGAGTATTGAAAACCTGCTTTTTTACACAAAATATCTGATTCTTTCGGTCCATTACGACTGAAATAGAAATATGGAAATGAATTAATGGACATTCGGTTTACGGATATAAATAATAATTTTCATATGTGTACTTGCTTTTCTTTTAATTATAAATCGTCCGGCACTATTCATTACAGATTTTAAGTGCCAAGTCTACTCAGATGTTAATAGATGTGGTTGAAACCACAGATTCAGTCCGAGTTATGATGCAATAAAACAAGCCGAACAATATTCCGTGGCTTCCGTAACTGACGGTACATAAGTGTTATAACTATTGAGTACTTAAATGATTTATTCATATTACGAAACCCGAAAATCCGATGACGCGTAGTTAAAACATGAAGAGTGCTTATATGAATTTAATATGACCCCGGAAATAATTTAATACATGAATATATCAATTTTTATATGATTTACTTATAGTCAGATTTGTATAACTTAAACTGAGTAATATCCAATATCAATTAGTCAATAACTTACTATGTGAGAACATATTTACAGTATCATACAATTAACCCTTTATAATCAACATATAGAGCTAATGGACTCCTTCTCAAGATCTGATTACATGGTATAAACGATTGACCAGAATCGGTTTCATTTGTCATTAACACTTTAATCGATTTAGTCACTGAACATTATATCAATAGGAACTCTGTTAAAGATGTTCTTGGGTTTATTTCAGTACTGATCTAAATCTAATAACTAAAAACTCGAGGTATTAGATAAATATTTAATCCTGATTTCGTTTTTTTTTCAGTAGTGTACACCATTTATTTATTCTGTAAACTGAAGATGTTTCAGAATTGTTGTGAGTACGTAGCCGTTGAGTTGATAAGGGTGGTAATTAAGTTAATAGACATTTTCTAACATAAACAAGACTAATAGGCAATGGATTTAGGCTTATATCTTATTTTGACTGTCATGCACACATTTCTAATTTAATTTCCGGAGAGAACATTTATTTTTAAAAGTATCCCAGAAATCTTTTTTTTAGCTAAACATGGATACATGGATACATGTAATAGCTATGGTTAGTGTCTTCTAAATAAATATTTGACAGCTGATAGGATAGGTCTATTTCATCCATCTAAACGGATCTACCATCCGTTATGGACAGATATTTAACTGCTTATATACCAGTGTGAACACATTTATAGAAGTATCGTTTTAGATTCGGTAAGCGAAAAAGTGTTTTAGTTTTTAAGCACGATGCTTCCACAACAAGCAAAGTTTCAAACACAAACGTATGACGCTCTGATGAATCTAGACTGAATCCATTAATAGGTACTTCATTGAGATAGCCAGTTCAACTTATGAACTATTAATGAAGGTTTCAAAACAGTAAACGAATCTAACCATTATTTGTTAAATGAAAATAAAAATATATTTCAATTACCTCCCATAAATGTATGGATATGGTTTGACTTTATTGTCTTCCAAGTATTTTAATACTGGTGTTAAAATACGCCAAGCTTCGCGTAGTTCATCTGAACGCACAAAATTTGTCTGAACTCCACAAAATACATCGAGAATCAATCGTTCATAAGCGTCAGGTAGTTTTATGGCCTGAAAATATTGAAAAATACATTAATAGAAGAGAAAATGGAACTATACTTTATATCGGTGAGCATAAGTTAAGTCTAATTCAGTTTCTTCTGTTTGAAATTTCATACCAGGAGATTTCACATTCAATTTAATATAAACTGCTTCGTCCGGTTGTACACGTATAACTAATTCATTACGTGGTAGACCTTCTTTTGAACCGAAAAGATGAATATGAGGTTCTTTAAATTGAACTCTGACTTCTGCTTTACGTTCATTTAGTGCTGCATATCAAAAATTGGAAAAAAAACAGATGTAAAGACAAAAAAAACGTTTACAAATTATAATCTAAAAGATATGAAGGTATTTTTATAATAGTCAGGTAATTTAGTATACTTATCATTTTATTAAACAATGTGCTCCCCAGAAAATAACGACACTAGTGATGAATATATCTGAAAAATAAGAATCATTTAAGAAACATCATGATACTTCCATGGAATAGCAGTAACCCGAAATTCTATTCATGAACGACACTGAAACTCCAACAGCATTGTTCATAAAATTTATGAGTTCTGGATGCTGACTCTAATTGGCATGTGTGCATACTGTGCGTATTGCCTCGATATAGCCTAAATTCATAAGCATGGTAAGCAAAGATGTTGATTGACCAGTTGCAGTCCTAAAAACATTAATGGGAAAATTCAAACAAACAATACTAAACGAATTTAAACTTCACCCCATTGCACAAGCAAGTGGCTATCACGACTCAGTGGCCGAGTGGATAACGCGATGGCGTTTGAAGCGAAAGGTACTGGGTTCGAGTCCCACAGTGAACATCAACTCTGGGACGCAGGTACATCCAGCTAACGAGCCTCAAATAGGACGAGACGTGCGTCCTGGATTCCACTGCTAGCCACTATCCACCTTTGTTTACATTACATGTTTACTTCATATAAATGCAGATAAGATCACAAGCTGGCGTAAAAGAAGTGTGTGTATATATACTTTTAAAACGTGTTCGACCTCAATCAGTAAGGCTTATATTGTTATTTCCAAATCTATCAAAGATAACTAAAAGGTTGAATAAGTTCCATATTTTTTGTCGTTTTATTTTCCAAATGTTACACCAGTTAAACGGATTGATAGGAAAATTGCTGAAGAATTTTGATAGTACATATTTTTCTAACAAACTCAATCAAGAATACATAGAGGAAAAGTTAGAATATACAAACAACATGTAAACAAACCTTTCCCTGCCCGGAGAATAAATGGAACACCCTTCCAACGGTCACTTTTCACATATAACACAGCGCATACATAAGTAGGTGTTATGGAATCTGAAATTGTTCAGAAAATTCAAAAAAAAATAGAAGCTCATTATTTGGCTGTACAACAATGTATAGTTGATATCAAATTTACGATTATCGGTTTTAAATATAATTAATATTTTACAAACTTTATAGTAATCACAGTGAAAATATATCAACATATAGTACAGTGAAGTACTTTCGGAAATTCCTGGACTGAAACAACGGAAAATGAGAATATTACAAATAAATAAGGTACAAATAGATTCATGCAGGTATTAGAAATGTAATCTTATTGTTTTTCATAATACCTAGAATTTCTTAGTGTTTTTTTCTAAATTTTGCCATATATGTAACTTAAGATTGGATTACATTCATTAAATATTTTACACGTTATGCATGACATGTTTAGTTCCCTAAAATAATTGGCCAGTTGCTTAGCAGTTCAGTTATCGAAAGAATTTTCAATTAGGATTAGAGGGTTGGTTGTATGAACAAATTAAATACTTGGTTACATTAATTGCCCCGATATTTCACCTATTCATTGTGTTATTACAATCCACCTTATAATACTGGCCACCTACATTATACCATATCTGTTAAATTCCAAACAAAAACGTCTCAAACTGTAGAGCTGAGTGACTCAGGTTCGAACGTGATAGGGAGCATCAGTTTCCTTAAGATTGAAGGTGCGCCTTGTTGACAGGTCCAAAGTAATAAGTAAATCAGGTCCACAGTTTTCTAATCACCACCTCAAACTAACTAACATCAATTTCATATTTTTGTTAAAGTAACTCATGAAGTAACCATAACAACGACCACACTCACTCAGACCTACTGAAGTTCTTAGTCTTAATGATTTGCAGCTTAAAAAACTTGTGTTGTGTACGTCTTTAATTTGATGGCTTTACAATATACGACTGGTATTTCTTAAGCAATTAATTACAAGTGAATATTACTATATTTAGTGACAGAGGTGATCATGTTATATACCTTTGGTGAATAACAGAGCGAATAACAGTTAAGTATATCATCTGCATGATTGATTTAGCACACTAAGCATGCATTGTTTGAGTTGAAGTGTTTTAGATAACCAGAATGCATTATCAAATCAAGCAATGATAATTAAACTCTTAGAATCAAAAGTAACCAAATGAAGACAACACTCCAGCACACATACACAAATACACAGCATAAAATGTTTGAGTATCTCATTGTTAATAACCGAAAAGCTAACCACTAACAAATATTCATTATTAAGAATAGGTGATTACTCATATACTCTACACAATTACTTTTGATAAGTAAAGTTCAAGATTTGTGTCGAAGTAAGACCAAAAAACAAACGCAATTTTAAGTTGCCTAAAATTGTAGTAAAGTATTGAGAAGTTTCATTATGAGAAGAGTACACCCTCCAAATACTCCAAATTTGAATAGAAATGCATGTTCTTGCTAAATGCAGACTAATTTTGTGTAAACAATAAAATGACTGAACGAAAAGATTTTTTCTCAGAAACTTCATTCTCAAAGCTGTACAATCGAGTATGTACGTGTGTTTTTAATGATTAACCGAACATAGTAACAAAATGAAGTAAGTGTAAACACGTTGTTGCATAACAAAGTGGTAAATTTACCGTACAACTATAAATACGAATGTACAGTCTAAGTAAAAAAATATTATTAAAGAGTGGTTCCATCAAAATTAATTTAAGAACATCATAGAAATTAGATTGTGGAGTATGATAACATAAAATTCGAAAACGATATAGAAACAAAAGTAAGTCCGTCAGGTTTAAGACTTCAACAGTGATATAGAGAGAATAATTCATAGAAGTTTTGGAAGGTAAACAAAATAAAGCAAAATGAAAGTAAGATAAAATGATAATTTAAACAACTATAATTCACAGGTCAAGTTCATGGTAAGATAAGACGCTGCACATTTTTCTTTTGTATACATAGTTTTGGCTTTGTTATGTATAGTGACGACTTTAGAAATACATAGGAGACGGAAACATACTGCTTTTGGTAAGTTTCCGTTCACCTAACAGATGACTTTGAACGACAAATCTGTCTTGATCAAATGACCAGTTGTGATAAGATTTTCTATGAATGCGCTTTTAACGGAACCAGTGTTGCCTTTCCCTAACCATGCGAGGTAGTGTCTCTGGACTCACTTAGACAAAATACACATTGTAAAACAAATATGCATTGTTTCACAGGAAAAGCTGAATTAATAGGTGTATAAGGAATAGGCCGGAACCAAAATTTGTCTTCTAAGTAGTTGGTAAATAAAAGAAGACTTCATGTCACTATTTTCACGGTTACTGCATAGAATTTCCTTTTGATGATATCGTCAGATATGTCATCTTTAAAGTTAGTATTTATGTGGAGTATCTTAGGGACGGATATTTCAGATTGTCAGGGAGGTTTCGAAGTTTTTATAAACAAATCGTGAAAAAGCGTTCTAGATTAGTTTGTCTGAGAAGATTGAGCTCCTCATCTACAACGTTGGGAATGCAGATTTACCGGATTTACTGAATGAGACATATAATCAAATTCATCTTCCACTTGATAGGGATTCTCTGTAAATTGACCATGACATTCCATGAAAATTTTGCTGCCATGTTAATATTAGGAAAGTGGAGGTTTAGTTCATTTTTTCTTCAAAAGTATGAATCTGAATGATAGATAGGCATTCATGAAGATATGTAGAATATTATTTAAATTAATATTATTATAAGAGATAGCAAAATTATTACTTGCATATCCTTTATACAAATAAAAATTGTTGATAATCAGCTTTAATTGTTCATTTACAAGACTAGCCATGAGCCAAAATCCTAGTAACGATCTAAGTGAGATCTTATGGTCATTTGATTCTTCTGTTCGTAGATTGTCTCGTTGAATGTATTTGTAGACTTGTCAAGGTCAGTTGTTGAAATTTCACAAGAACGCTGATTGCATCACTTTTATGAGTCATGAGACCCTTCAGGAAATCACACCAATGATATGAAGTTTATCAAAAACACATACATTATTCTAATACCGATAAACAAATCTCGCAGTTATTGAAAACTGTAAAAAGGTTTAAGGATGAAAACCGGAAAACAGTTGGACTACCTTTAGGAACTGACGGATCATCTGTGTAAGATAACGAAGCAGGTGGACTTGTTGCATTTGGATCTGCAATGTATTGTCCAATTACAATGTCGTCTATTGTTAAAGGTTCAATGCTTCGTAGCACACGAACCTACAAAGAAAACGATAAAGGCCAAAAGTATGTATTGCTAAAACATTTGACTGTTTTCTACGTCCACACACACACACACTACAATCATAAAATAATTTCACATGTTTTTATATTTAATATAATCTTGTTAATAACTAAGCACGAACGAACTATAAAAATAATTTACAGTTTATAAATTAAACGGTATAAAGCTTTAGTTTAGAACTTGACATAATTAAATCACGAAATATTGGTAGCATACGTAAAAACTATGGTGATGGTCATATATTTACGAAGTGATCAGATATTTTAGGCGCAGTTACGAGCATACGTCGATATCATCAAACATATTTATTATATATTGAGTGGATATTCATTGCAACCTAATAACAGGTAACCAGAGAGAGAGACGGGTGTTTGGATATATTACGTCCTCGTTACGAAATAACCACCGTATGGTTTTATGTCAGCAGTTTGACATTTTAGTTTGAAGCACGATGAAAATGCATCCTAGCGATAGAATATCTAACATTTCATTGTTTGCATCGGTTGAGATTATCTAGCCGTATAATTTCAGTTTATTTACTGAGTCATTATCAAAAAACAAAGGAACACCAAAAAATAACACCTTTATTTTAGATTTAGGAGTATTCAATGGAAGCCACTAATAATATAACGAGAAATAAATAACTACAACTGCGTCTTGGAACAAGTAAGTTACAATTAAACAGCAGGGTGAAAACCAGATGATTCACATTTCCCGTTTGAGTCACTATGCAATATGCAGCAACAATGTGTTCACCATGAATCTTTTTGGAAGTTTTGCTGGGAAGTCGTACCATGTGAAGTTGACGAAATAGGCAATCAGGCAGTAACCCTTTGATAATATTGAGTGCAGGTTGCACTATATTGTGGATTGACTAATTTTTAATGTATGAACTGTTGAATTCTGTGCTATCAACTGAATGACGTGTTCGTCAAGCAATCTGAAAGTCACGAGTCCGATCTCGCGGGAGAGCACTGCCGACAAGTTTCAAATAAAGGTGATAAATCTACTCTATGTTTTATGATTCATGTTAGAGTGACATATTGCTGTTCAAGAAATTGTGACTGTGAATGAACAGTAAAACAGCTCATTATCAAATTATGTTATACCGTTTGTTTAAATTTTATGCCCATTAATGTAACCATATTTGAATTTTTTAGTTCGATATAGGTAAAGACAAACAAAAATGAAAATTTAAGTAAGTCTCTGAATACATAACATTATCATATAAACAGAACTATGCTAATAAAGTATTTAATTTACTTAAATGAATGTACATATTCACAAATAAGAAACCATAATTAGAATCACTGGGTATTTATCATGTTACTGAAATTGTGCTAAGAAATGATATGTCACAGAGTAGGATTAACAAGACAAACTTCTAAAGAATAGTAGCGACTCACTAATCGTTTTTATTTTATGGTTCTGAGAAATTTTGTAATTCACTTAAAATGGCTTACTGGATGTCACACTGTTTTTTTCATAGACTGATATTTGCTTTTTTAGCTTATAATAAGAATTATTGGCAATACTATAATTCATGGACTAACCAATTAGGTTTAGGATAACAGGTCTTGAATTTTAGCGCGGAATTCATTCATACATTTGATTAAAGAGCATTTTGTCATGTTAACTGATATCAGTTAGTGATGAAAACCCTAAATCTAATTCCTAACTCTAACAATCAACTGTAAATCATAATCCTTATTCTTCACGCAGGTCTATAACTCATTTAGCTCTAGTAATTAAGTGGACATTCTTAAGGCCATATTAGCTTCGCTTAAATATCGTCCATAAATTATAGTCTCACCGAATTATCTATAATATGGTTCTATCAAAATGTGTATATGTATAGAAGTATCGAAAGATACCATCAAAGAAAGTTATATATATAGTGAATTAAAATTGTAACTTTTTATTTGTTGTTCAACAGACCACTTTGAAATGTAAGATTGAAATGAAAATTATAGTTTAGCCAAAGTAAATTATTTTCCTTCATTACTTTTATTTTTTACTATGTACTGGTACCACCCAAAAGTAAAAAAATTTTGATCACAGATTATCCTACAAATGAATAGAGTAGTCCCCAAAATGAAAAAAGAAAGCTAATTATAGGGTTTATTATAGTTTACAATTAGTGATCAAGGTATTTTAGATAAAGATTAGATTATGCATTACGCTACAGAATATATTTGAAAAAAGAAAAACTAGATTCATATAGATAAAACAAATTCTGAATGAAAAGTGTTTTTCACTTTTAGAAACAGGCACTGAATTCTTAAATGACATTTTAACATTGGTCAACTGTATTCTAAATTATAAAGTAGAAATATTATCTGAATAAAGGAAAAAAAACTTAAAGGACATAAATTATTTTGATAAAGCTAAATTATTAGAAAAATATGCGAAAATTTGAGTTCATAACTAGTGAATTAGAGACTGGTTATTAAAGTTAGAGTGATTTTGTAGAAGTTTAGCTAATTTAAAAGTTCCAAATATTTTTGTTACTATCACAAACTAATACCATTTGAAGAATAAACCAAAACGTTCTAAAGAATAAAAAAATTGTTATGTGCAGCAGTTCGTTCCATCCTACTTTATGACAGTGAAACATGGCCCCTAGTATTCGATCATAGGTGTCTTCGACGCATTGCTCGTATATCCTGGGACCATTGAGTAAGTAATGCAGTTGTTAGGAAACGGGTACTAGGTAAGGATGGCAAATCGATTGATGGAGTAGTGAAACTTCATCAGTTGAGATGGCTAGGATATGTGTTACGTATGCCCAACCACCTTCTGCCCCGAACTGTGATGTTTTATGGAAGAAAGCTAGGGGAGGTCAGACCAAAACGTGGCACAAATCCATGAAGTCATTGACAAGTGGACTGAGTCATGATGGTAGGTGTAGATTACCTGGTTGGGATGGTTAGAGACCTTGAATGACATGGCTCAAAATTATTTGCGATGGCGAAGGTGCATTCACTCTTTGTGCTCTCTCAAATTCTAATCTTCTGAAATCTTCATCTCCCTATCTGTTTTTTTTCTCTTTCCAAATTTATTTCACCAGATTATACTCCTTGAATAACATCTTCAAACCCTAATCTTTCGGATTACTGCTTATACTCTTACTATTTCTACCAATATGGGATTTGAATTGACAACTGCATCTCTGTGTTAATGTGGTATGGCAACTCGAACTGATGTACGTATGTACGAAGTTCTACGTTGTGGCTGATTGAGTATAGTATTTATTGTCAAAAATTCATGAGCAAGCGGTTAAGTTGATTAGAGGTAAATAGAAAGTATTTTGACGACAATAAAACTGATATAAAAACAGGAACCATTGAATGTCTCTTTAATTGAATGAATCCACGTGCTTTGTAAGGGGAATCGACAAAAAACCTTTCTGTTATTAAAAGTTATTCGAATAACCTACAAATTCTCTCAGTTATATTTCACAGAAACATTTTGAGAAATATTGCTCAAGGAATAAGAAAGATCAAATACATAGTCTATTGTAGAGTATACAAACGACTTACCAATCTGTAAGCATCGATTTTAGTTATATATAGATATAGATACAATGTCAACGAGATTGTAATACCGTGCAAAAACCCATTCCAATAACACTTATTGTTCTTTGGAATTCCTACTTTCCTCTTCCCTTCCGGATCCCAATTTAAGGCTTGCCTCGTGATGCAGTTTGATGATTTCCTTAATATATGTCCTATCCACTTCCAACGTTTTTTCCTAATTTCCTCTTCAGCTGGAAGATGGTTTGTCCTCTCCCATAAAACGCTGTTGCTGATAGTATCCGGTCAGTGAATGTTGAATATTTTGCGTAGACAACTGTTTATAAATACTTGCACCTTTCGACGATGGATGTAGTAGTTCTCCAGGTTTCAGCTCCGTACAGTAGGACTGTCTTGACGTTCGTATTGAAGATTCTCACTTTGAAGTCAGTTGACAGTTGTTTTTAGTTCCATATGTTCTTCAATTTTAGAAATGCTGTCCTTGCTTTTCCAATCCTCGCATCTACATCTGCATCAGATCCTCCTTGTTCATCAATGATGCTTCCCAGGTACGTGAAAGATCCTCCAGAGTTTCGCCATCAAGTGTAATTGCGTTGGTGTTCTCCCTGTTGTATTTGAGAATCTTGCTTTTTCCTTTGTCATAGTTGAAAGCATGAGTCAATTGAAGCTAGACCATTTCCTTTGTGTATGTTGAGGCCTACTGATGCAGGGGCTGCTGACTTGATATACACTAGAAATCAATTTAAACTGAATAAAGCTTTTCAATTTACTCATCGCTTATCATCCAGTTCGTTGCAATGTTTACACGTAAGTTGACCGGCAACAGCTGAAAATATCGACGTCAATTTTATCAGATCAACTCTTCATATTCACGAGAAATGTATACAAGAGCTCTTGGCGACTAAACTGGTAACTTACATTTTAAACTATTGCGTAGTACCTTACTAAGAAGGATTTATCATACACAAAATCTCATTTCAGCATAATGTTGCAATTTTCGATTGCTTTCTAGTTCTATATAGCTATTGTTAACTGCTGACCACATATGACTTTGAACTTTGTTACTAATCATTGTGAAACCTATCGGTTTCACAACAATCTGTTTTAACTTAATTAAAAATATTGTTACTGTGCTAGAGTTTGATTGCATTTTCACTATAATTAACTTTATACGTGTTTCATATTCAAATTTTAAGTGAACTTATATGAAAAAAACCACGTGAGGAATTATTCAGTAAACTTCACTATTGATTTTTACTTTCAAGCAAATCAAAGGTCTTATTGACGTGCGACAAAAACCAACTGTGAACAATGAAATAAGCACGAAAACTACTTTTGCACCAACTGATCAATTCGCAACAACCAACTAAACGTTATCTGGTTATTAGTGTTGATCAGATTCAAACAGCGTGCATCTTGATGTTAAACCGCTTATACTAGTAGTCACTCTGAGATAAAATCAATAGGAATGGATTACGAATGAGAAGTGAACAGTATGACGTTAGTTACTACTGAGTGATTAATAAGCGTAAACATTTTGGTGGAATAAGAGGTTACTCATTGCTTGAATAGTTTGGTATTATTATCTCTGACTGTGACACGTGTTCGAGTACCACGGAGAAACTCAATATTTTACAGATTATAGATATGCCTAGCTAATGAGTCCCAAATAACTTGAAGACTACAACATTCAGGACTATCTGTCAATTGCTAATGACAACTTAATTAATAAAATTCTGTTGAGATTTCTGATTAATCGGTAATATTTAGATTTGCAGTTCAAGACAGAAACTATTGACAATATTATTTTCAAAGGAAATATAGTTAGGGGTTATAGATCAATCCTCAAAATAAATTATGGCAACAATGTCAGTGCCATTCTTTTCGCATCAATATACATATATGAGGCAAAGTTTAAAGCAGATCCGTATCAATAAGAATGTTCGCTGCATTTAATAATTGACCAACTTTGACTAACAATTAAGATCAACGTTTATGAGCTGATGTTTTTTAATAGTCCACTTGAACATTGAGCTAATGATGATTCAAATATTTCCTATACTACATGAGGAAAAGACACAGGTAAAATTTACGACAACCCAATAGTTTTATGTAAAATGTATACACCTCTTGCAGACAAATATTAAACGATGTTAAAAGCAGAATCAAAGTTTCTAATTATTTGACTTGAAACATGTAACGTTGAACAATGTGCAGTTTGCTGTTGCATGGTTTGATCTGCAGATTTTGACTAACGAATAGGTCATTTAATATTACCGTTTTCATACTCGTAGTGAGTACAAAGATTTGAGCTATCTTGGGATCTGTATCTCACTAGGAAACTATATGTGACAATCAATAGTAGTTATGTTATCTTCTTTTAGATTGTATGTAGTTGTTGTCATCAGAACTATACTATCTTGCTGGAACTTACGTCGTTACATGGCTATTAGAACAGATGACAAAGAGACTTGGTATATTTAGCACAACAACTTTAAAAAATTTATGATTAAAGCAAATAATTCTTACAATGAGGTAAAGTCATTTAGATAGAGACGAGTCAAATAGGATGAAGGACAATATTCATTAAATAAAATAGCCTCATCTCTCAATAAGACTTTATAAAGGAATATTTCATTGCTTAAATATCCTGTCAGACGTACTGAACTACTTCAAAAATACACAATCCAGTCAATATAAGCTTAGTGTATCACAGATATGTGCATACATAAACACAATGCAATAAATAGTGCATTTCACTAAGTTTCTCACACAAATTTTTGTAATATTATTAACATTTTAAGTCTACATTTTGTGAAGTAAAATAAATCATCATTAGTTTGGTTGAAATGAATTTGCAGAGATTGGTATAATTTGCAGGTTGTATTGCTTATACTGAACTCAGTCTAGGTACGACTAAAACCCACGGGTCACTGGACAGCAGTTTTATCTTTGTATAGAACTCCTCATCAGCTCATGTCAACGACCTTGCCAGGGATTGAACCCAGGGCCTTCAGTTCTCGCAATAAACGTCTAACCACTGGAACCATTAGGTCTGCATTCAGTGGTACAATTCTAGCTTTAATCGATTAGTGATAATATAGCACAATGATTGCTCAATGCCACCGGTGATAACGGTTTCGCTTCTTAGTTTTTAACTGTAGTTCAACTGAGATTAATCGGTAATAAATACAACCCTACAAATTTAGTATCGAATTAGGCATCAATATCGGTAGTAATAACATCAAGATGAAATTTCAAGCAAAGATGATTACAATATACCTTCTCATCACGTATATCATCTGCATTAACTGAAATAGGTTTTTCCATTGCTACCAATGAAAGAATCTGAATAAGGTGATTTTGAACGACATCGCTAGCGATGAAAATAGTATGAGAAAAGTAGAAAGATGTATTCACGATGATATATATTGTCTATTTAAATGAATAAATACAATGAAAAACAATACTTTAAAATTAACAAATCGTTTTAAAGTGTAAATGTTCCCCTTAATGCATAGAAACCCCCAAATGCCCTAGTATGGCTGTGGGTGGGGAGAGTCCGCTTTTCCTCTCAAAATATTCTCACATGGCCACAAGTATACAGCCACTCCCAAGGAAGTCCTATTCACTGCCATCTCGTGGCATTACTGTTGTTCACGAAATTGATAGGACTAAAATAGAATATCTAGAGTCTTAACCGGGTCAGTAGATACGGAGGATTTACCTAGGGTAGTTGGAAAACCCTGATTCAAAACCAATGGTGCAAATGGTCTCCAGTATCCTAAAGGAACAAAAGGAGTACGGACCAGTTGTTTGTCACCGGCCAACATGGGACTACATCTTCTAAAGTTACTCCACTGTCTTATGAATGAGACCTTTAGGTCAAAGGCTCCGGGTATGGCCCCCTAAGAGAACCACCTGTTTCGGTTTGGGTGCACGGGAAATATCCCAGTTCTCACAAAAATCAATGATAACTGCTACTGGTCTCATTGTTATTGTGTGGCGTATATGTATTTGATACCCCCTTGTACCAATGTTTATGTGTTCAAGTAAATAAATAGAAAAAATGTTAAATATATGATGTCACGAATGGAATTGCATTTGATAATATTATGTAACGTCCCAATTAATCGGGAGACTTCGATATCATTTAAAAATGAACAAAGTGTTATTTGAGAATTCTTTTATCAACTTACATGAATTATTTACATTGAAAGTGAATTTATAATGACAGAGTATACCGAACTATTGGATATAAATTTTACCAAGTTCAAATCTAACAATATCATTAATAATTAATGATTGAGAAAACGACATGAAGTGACTTAAAACTAATGTGATATATGATACATTATTCATTGGTTATTTTACTTCAATTCATTGAACATTGGTATTAAAATACACTTCTCATTATTTGATGTTATTCCTTTGGTTTTTTAAGTTTTTTTCTACAGTTTAGACTGTCACCTATTACTGGTGTCATTATTTCGATTCTTTTGATCCTCTTAGAATCAATTCATCCTAATAACATTGATTTGAAGTGCACCCCGTTTGAATTGCGCTAGATCTAGCATTTTCTCATGTCTGTCAGCGAATACAACTAACAGATAATTACGTAAACCATTCCTAACAAATCCTAAATTTCTTGGCATCTACCACCAAAATCTTTTTGGTTCGATCAAGCAACTTTCATAAATTGAATGGGAATGGGTCTTTTTCATTTAAATAGCGACACTTTAGATGACTGTCTTTTTAGTTAATTACTCCAAGTACTTGAATCTTGTGAATGTGTTATTGTTTCGAATTATAATATTACCCATCCATTCATCCAAACAGTCAGCTTGTTCATATAAACATATACACTTCACAGTTTTGTCATTGAAGCTCCACTTTTACTCCGAGTAACCGACATATTAGTTCATGTTTACTGTCAGTAGTCAGACGATAATTTTCGTGAATTTGCTGAGAATGTGAATTAGCTTAAGGGACTCGTCAGCAGTGCGTATCCACAACCCTATACATATAGTCGTACCCATGAAATACAGAAGTAACATCGTGCACGATATAACCAAAGCCAAAAATTGAACAAATCTCCACTGTACCAACCAAATACCTTTACTGTATAACAATGAGCTGTCATTCGTACTCTCGTAATTTGACACGTTTAAATACATTGTTTTAAAGCAGGATGGAATTTCTACCTACCGAATAATACCAAATTGATCAAAATATCCACCACGTCCTTCGGTTCCGAATGGTTCTTTAAATGATATTGTAATATTATCAATATTTTCACGATTCCACAGTGGACTGAAGACCTGATTACAGAATCTGGAAAGTGATCATTTTTTGCAAAAAAAAAGCAAATTGAATCAAACAAGGGAAATGTTTCGCACAATAAACATAGTGATTAAAACCGGTTAAATCGAAATCTTACAGGAAAATTATCGAGAAGTACCGTAACCACTAAGTTAACCCAAGTAACTTATTGAACACTGAAAACATTACTTCACCTTTTTTGTAGTTATACTGATGGCTTTTGTGACGAAAATTATTGTTTAACCAATCGCACAACTTTCAGATTCATCCCAATAGCTGCTTACTGTTGTCCGTTCGTTTTATTGTTTTTTTATTTAGCAACCTTTAACAGCCTTTCTTGTAAATTTACTTCATATGAATTTAACTATTTCTCTCTTGTCTCACATCTCCTAAAATGATTTGTCTTCACTTTAAGTGAATGACAGGATGAAAGTCATTTTAGGAAGATGGGGTAGTGCTAGACCAGAGAATAGGAGACACGTTCTTCTATGAAAGTCAGACGATTTACGGGACGTCTAAAGACTCCACGGCAGGTGAGAGTTTATAAACGAGGCATTCTGTAGGAGGAAGTGGGTTATGCGTTTAGTCTACTAGTCGTTATCTTGATCAGGCCGAACAAATGTAAAAATACCCATGACTTGTGTACAGTACCATTTGACTTTGAAAATCAAAGCCCCTAGATCAATTTTGAGTCTTTCCATCTTCTTAGCAATTGAACTAAGTGATTAGAAAGAGTTTATATATCGTAAATGGATCGAACCCACGGATTATACAACATATTTTCTAGTAACAGATGTATGTTTAGATTTCATTTATTCTAGGTATGTTTTGTAAAACTTGTTTTTAAATTGGGCAAGTTTGACACGGAAATATTTTTAACGAATAATTGTCGAGGATAAACAGTAAAACAAACATTTATTATGAGTTTTGAGAAGGTTATTCATATAGATTATAATACAAATATGCAACAGTTTAAACATGATACAACAAATAAACTTGTCCATATATTCTAAATATTAAATGTTTTGACCGCATTGAAAAGTTTTATATAATAAATTTGTTAAGTTTTAACGATATGAACTATGCATGTGTAATTAAACTGAATACAGAATACAGATAATAAAGCATTGGTTTAGATAGTTTTTATCAAATTTAATCATTATTGACACTTGAAAAAAATTCAACAATATAAGAGAATGTGAATAAACAACCGCCTGGTTTATTAGCTAGACACTCTATTAAATGATTCCCATAAATCAAACGCATTCTAACAATATAGTAATGTTTACTTCATTGATTGAGTTTCACGATATAGGTATCTATTGCATTCATTAGCGGTATATTTTAGTATTTCTATACATATAATAGAGAGTGATGATTTATTGGCATCAACAGAATTCGATTGAAAACAAATTCTGACTCCATATTTGTGTTGATCGAATTTGCTTCAGATTTACAAGATACGTTGACATAAGGTATATAATTTTCATATTGTTATGTTAGCTTTTAAGATATATTTCAATAAAATCTCCTTACCGATTAAAAATAAACGGGTGCAAATAAGTATATGTCAGAATTTTTTGAATTATTTTACACTCTACATTAATTTTTCTCCTATTGAATAACCGTACAACTAGCAAAATGTGTTACCATTATCGCTCATTCCTTTACGAACCCAAAAAATAATCAACATACAGGGGAGTTAATGATAATATAAAGTACTATAGGAATAACTTTACCGTAAAATTAATAGATTTTGAACCATCTCTTTGCCCAAATAATGGTCGATTCGATAAATCTGTTCTTCTGTAAACAGTTTAGTTAATTCACAATTCAATTCATTGAATGACTCTAAATCTCGTCCAAACGGTTTTTCAATGATCAATCGAGTCCATGTATCAGGGCTACGAAAATTATACCAACATAAAATGAATATTCATGAAAATCACAAGTTTCAGTGTTTACATATATTCGTTGTCGGTTACTTTCAAAATAAAAAGTGAATATTGACACAGGATACTTTGGTAACCTGATCAAGATAAAGATAGTATTTTTTTAAAAAGACTCAGAGAACAGTCATAATGTCATATCCTTTATACAAAAACTGTTTTCTGGGTTCATAACGATCAAAGGATGAGAGTGCAGCTTATTAAAAGAAACAAAAACATATGAACCACTGTCTTTTAGCAGTTAACTACATTTAAAAACTGCAGTCTGTTACAAACTGTTACGTAATGATTAGGTATAAGGACGAATAGAACGACAAACAACACAAAAATACTCCGAAAGAACCATAAAAATATTTTGAGAAAAAGAATAGAAGATAGGTTTAAAAAGAAAACCGATGCTACCTCTACAAAAAATGAGGCTTATTCTCTGATTCCTTATGGTAATAATTTTACAAAACAGAAAACAAAGCAAACGTGAACTATTAAATTAACCAGTAAAAATATGTATCATACCAAGCGTCATTTTGTTATTTACGAGTATAACATAATACAAAGAGGTGTAAAAAAGAAATTTACCCAAATGAATTAAATATAAATGTATCAATAATTAAATTAGCTAACTGGTCCCTGACAACGGTTCACCCTACATAACTTACACAACTAATTCGGAGTAAGATATATACACTTAGTTAGGAAAAGTATTATGGTAGTAGACAAAATACATCAATCAATGAAACTAGTTGGCTACAAAAAAATTAAAATTATCAAGTAACCTCAAAATGTAATTGTCAAGATTCAGTCAGTCAGCTACAACGTAGGACCAGGCACATATATGCATCGGTTCAAGTTGCCATAAGATTCAAAGTGCTGTTGTGTCTTAGTGCTACAGTGTACCAGTAATCCAGGTAATCTATGAGTATTGTGTCATTTCAGGATTATGATTTACTTGGAACGAACAATAAGAACGGAATTTAAGATTTCACGCGTAAGTTAAAAATTCGATCCAGACTCTTAAAAGTGCATAAAATTCGGAATGTGGTATCGAAATTGAGCTCAGTGGCGCATATATATCTGGTGCCCCCTTGTACCAATATTTATGTGTTTAAATAAATAAATTCAGTTTAAAGTGCCACTTATTGTAAGATATTTTACAGTCGCTTAAAATAAAGAATCTTGTTCTTCTGGAACAGACACATTTTTCACCATCGACACACATCATAGTGACTGGGTGATGCAGTTAACTGAAGCGCAGATATTAATCGCCGATGTCAGCAGAAAAAATCAGTTAAACATTTTTGTTATCCATTGTCATTATTGATGGGATATGACTATAATAACTTCTAAAATGCCAGAGTATTATACATTAATATATATACTTGAGCATTTTATTAGCGAAACCAATGATAATTTGCTACACGATAATCTGTTAATGATCATTTTCGATGTTGCGAACTCTCGGAACTTCTAGCTGAAATATTAAAAAGTTGATGTCGACATGCTTAAATACACACTTCTCTTAAACTTGATGTCATAGAAGAGTTTTCCGTGATCTGATTAGACGAAATTTCAACAATTAATATCGATGAATACAGTGTCAGCCAATAGATGAACGCAATAATATAATGTGATCGAGTGATGGCTACTCACGAGACCGTATAATTGACTTAGGCCCCTGAGTAATTAGAAATCAGAAACAATACCACTAGCCACATGAATAGTTTCATCAGATAACCAGATAACAAGTTTGTGTACAACATATGAGAATAAAATAAACATGACAAAACATTTAAGCCGATTAGAGGAAATAAGCTTATAGGTCATTCGATTAAGGCTTGACTGTCAGGCCTATTTTGAGGTATCGTTTTACTTTCTGAAAGACCAATGTATTTAAAGTGTTTTAGGATCAAGAGTTATTTGGGAAACACATCTTCAGACTCTTATCCCTTAGCCAAAAATCTAAGTTTAGAAACTGAATCATTCATAATGAAATCAATTCAGGATGTAATCACAAGATATATAAATAAAATTTAATAATAACCTCAATTTATAAGTTTTTTCATAAAACAAAATGCAAACAATGTGTTAAGGTCTAGTTGGTTTTGGAATGGTAACATTCTGACTAAATATGACATTAGAAAGATAATGTCAATTATTAATGGACTGGGCTTTCGATGATCATATGAATACAATAACTTTGATTGTTGGAAATACGAAATGTAAATTAATAACAGTTTAGTATAAAAATCAAATGTGCACTTATTTCATAGTCATGTCGATGAACGGAATAAATTGAAAGCCAAACTACCATTAACATGAAAATATTCAATAGAGCTTCAAATGGTAATTTGAAGGGTCACTATTACAATTTGATCATAAAATAACCTGTTTGTTCATTTATTTTTAAAGTTAAAGATTATTCTTGTACATATACATTGTCTGTAGAAGAAAAAAGACCGCAGAACAACTCAACGGATAATAATTACTTCGAGAATCATAACTGAGTGAAATATTGCTTACTTTTTGTTAGTACAATATTCTTTGATAGATGACGAAACAGGTTTATAAACTGATGGTGGTATAGCATAATAAAATATGCGATTAACAGCTTGTCCCCATTTAGATTCTATAAACTCATTTAATAATTCAAATGTCTTGGGATTCGTGTAATCTCCTCTCATGTAAAAATTACAGTTCCAAAATTCTTCATATTTTTGACATGGATGTGATGAGAGCTAATAGGAACCAAATAAAAGTTGTTTATGAAGTAGAGTACTACGAAAAACTAATTAATTAAGTTGAAACGACAATGTGTATAATAAATGTTGTGGATTGAAAAAATATTTTGATTCAGTGAGAATTTAAGAAAGAATAAGATCTATCTAGTTCATTTTTTTCACATTTTTTAAAGGAACTCAAAATGGTCCATTCGCACAAAGAATATTTTACAAATGAATCCATTGATATTGATCAATGATTCCCATGTTACAAGCTAACACGTAGGACGTACTCATTTTTAGGTAGGAATTGAAAAATTCCACCTTTTCTTATTTTGCGGACATGAAAATATAATAGTGATGTGCCAGATAAGGTATAATGTGAAAAAATATTTACCCCCAAATAACGAGAAACCATTAGTCTCAATAGCTAAATACACAAATGAACGACAAACCAAGGGATACATCTTAGTGTTGACTAACCATACTACCTAACTATTGTAAAAGAAGTGAGACGAGTTTGGAATAAAACTGAATGGCTTACAGCCAAATAACAAAGACTTTGTCCCTTTAAAAAAAGCTCCGGAAAATTTATCAATAATTTATGTGATGAACAGAGTTGAAAGTATCGTAACATTAGGAAGGACTAGAAAAGTATGGCCAGTATATATACTTTTAATCTAAAGATTAAACGGGAAAGTCTAATACACCATTCAGTAATCTATGTAGAATCTAGCATGAATCTGGGTGGGTCCAAGTTACCACATCTCACGTCAATAAGATGAGAAGTATAGAGTGGGAAAAAATACCGATATATAAATATGGAAAATATAAATCAAAGTCACATTTACGGAACGACCTCATATTTTAGAAAGATATTGCAATGAGTTTTAGTAGAACATAGAACAGAAGATACTAGCTTCGGTACACCAACCTCGATAAGTAACACTTAATAGATAGAAAAAATTACATACCTAAATTTAGGTGGATTAAACCTTGGAGCTTGATAGTTATTTCAAAAACTTGGGTGGAAGTAAAAATCATCTAGTGAAATAGGAACAGTAATTTAAATCCTTCAGCGTTATGTTTCAGTAAATAAGGTTGTGAAGAATGAAATCTTACCTTGGCAAATTTTTCACTTCCCGCTCTTATGTCCTCAATACCAATATCAGATCGTGCGAACCCAACGAAGTAAGTTCGAGGAGGCAGCAGACCATCACGGAACAACCACCTAAATTGTAACAAAGTTAATCATCAGGTTACCATAAAGTTGGATAAGTCTTTTTCTTTGCCAAATCACCCTATAATATATTATAAATAGACGTTTTAGTATTTCTTACAGAAGCTCCGATGATCACAAGAACATGAACATGACTTTTATCTTCCTCCAAAGACAACTTAACAATGTTCAAGAATTCTTCACATTCGCATTCGTTTACTTCTGACATTTCTTAATAACCTGGTAAAAATTTGAACATGCTTTATTTATTATCAAAGTACAATAGGGGATTATTTACAAGAATTAAAATTCTGTTATGAAAATGTCAGTTATTTACAAACAGTGTAAAATACAGAGTCCGTTCAACATATTTGAATTTTAGAGTGAGTATGGAAGAGAGGGTACTAATATGTCAATGACCGTGGAATTTAATATGAGGTTGCAAACAAGGACAATAAAATATTGGTTAATTTAAATGTTCTGCCAGATATACACCAGATTCTACATTGACTATGACTGAATAGTATACTTTGCCAATAAACATTTTAGACACATATATAAAGCTCTTAACAAGGAATACCAATCTATCTCACCAGACAAACTAAAAGGACATCTCAGTATTCTAAATTGGCCAACCAAAATGTCAGAACACAATGACATTGCTCACATGGACAACCAGCCTTTCGTGGATTGACACTAGTGTATCTGCTTCTAGGATGTTCAAAAAATACTGTTGCATTTAGGTAAATAACGTTGCTTCTTGAGTTTTGATGCAAGTAATCTACAATATTTTCGATCATCTGCCTAAACAACTTCATATGATATCTCGTTAACAAACACTAAAACAATCTATAGTAAAAGAACTGTGACCTTTTTAAGATATGCACAAAATCTCGAGCGAAAGCGACAACAACAGAAATATCTGGAGCATGAAAGAACAGTGCTTAAAGAGCAATGTCGAAAGCTGAGTTTCATTGATTAAAAAAATCCAGTGATACAAGCTCAAGTCACTGAGATTACAGTAACTTGTATACGGTAATATATGCAATGTTATTCACATATGAACATTACCAAAACACATTTCTGATGTTTTGACTTCCTAAGTATATAGATAATAATTCTGACATTGCAATTAGGAATTCAGAACCTTTCAAAAAAAAGTGGTTAATCTGGGATCACTAAGAATGAATAACGAAGGAGTCCCCTGTGTATTATGACAATTCGCTGCCACACAAACAATAAAAAACTGAGAACTTCATAAAACAACATGAGCTAAGATAATGAAACTTGATAAGTTATTTTAAGCAGCTTAAGATTTCTTGCACTCAAATTAATGGAGTCAATATACTACGCCCTGGTTTAGACAAGCTCAAATGACCTTATCGTGCAAAATCCATGTAATTGGTGATTAGGGACTAATTTCGGTGAATTAAAATTAATAAATTTATCCGTATTTAAACTATTTTAATTTGTTATTCTGTAGATATCTATAGAATAACAAATATGTTACTTGGATTATAAATATTACATTATTTAGTGTTTACATGACACATGCCCCCATAAAAGGTGTGGAACACCACAAAATAAAAGATTGCTAGATGTATTTCAAAAACATTTTTAACGTAACACTTTACTAATATTTACTTGGTTTTACCAGTAACAAATTAAAATGTCTCAGTAAAATTAGTCATTTTAAATCTATAAGTGTGGAATTGGCTTTCATAAATATAAACCTTAGCCGTAGAATATGGAGAATGATAAAACAAGTCAATAAGTAACCGCAGAAACAAAACCTCACAAACCTACTACGGAAAAAGGTAGAACGAAATGCGCTCCGATTTTGTAGGTCAAACAAACATTCAAATGGTTCAAATAGTTGAGAACGGTATAGAAGAAGCTTTCGCTTAACGGGCTTCCGTGTCTGGTAGCAGTGGATCACCAATACGTCCAGGCAAAAACCTAGGTATATGAACGATAATAGAGGGAAAAAAGAATTTGGTAAATCATAATAATATGTTATCCTTAGCCCTTAAAAATAAATCAAGTTTTCTCTTAAAGGACTCCTGGGAGGTCGCTTGGACTAGCTCAGTCGGCAGCGAATTCCAGCACTTGACAACTCTAACGGAGTAGAAGTTGTGTCTGCAGTCTGTTCTGCTATGTAGGGTCTCCAATTTCTGGGTGTTACCTCTGAGGTTAGTGTTATGACTAACTTTAAAAAGATGTTTAAGGGGATGACCAGAAGTATTAAGGATACCATAAGTCATAAGGAGATCACCTCTAAGACGCCTGTACTTTAACGGGTAAAGGTTAAGTGATTTGAGGCGCTCTTGAATTTGAGACCCCGAACTGATTTCGTGGCTCGACGTTGTATACGTTCCAGAGTGACCTTATCCTTTTGGAGGGAGGGAGGAAATACTATGTTTCCGTACTCTAAGTGGGGACGAATAAAACTGTTGAAGATTATATGGAAGGTTCTACCGTCAAACTGGCCAAAAATGCGCTTCAATGTTACCAGTGCAAGGTTTGCTTGAGAAGCGTTTTTGTCACAGTTCGCATACGATTTCAGGTCGTAGGGTACCAACACTCCTAAATCTTTTTCAACTTGGGAAACTTCTAGAGGTGAGTTACCTAAGTTATAACTATAGTCTGCAACATGTCTCAGATGGACTACCTTGCACTTTGAAGTGTTGAAGGCAAGTCCGTTGTCGTCTGCCCAACTTTGAAGTCGGGTCAGATCCTCCTGAAGAACTAGTATATCATTATGATTACGTGTCTCTCTCCAAAGTTTCGCATCATCAGCAAAAAGCAATAAGTCAGATGAAACTTGTTGAGGAAGATCGTTAATGTAGATCAAGAAGAGAAGAGGTCCTAGTATTGAGCCCTGGGGGACCCCACTAGGACATTCCATAGCCTGAGAGATAGTGAAGTTAACCCTGACCTTACAATGTCGGTTTTCTAAATATGAAGAGAGCCAATCAATCACAGGGAATTTTATACCCAATCGTCCAAGCTTCTTGATAAGACATGCGTGGTTGACCCTATCAAAAGCTTTGGAGAAGTTCAGGTAGATGATGTCAACCTTCCCCTTGCGACCAAGGATGGTTGTCCATCTATCCACCGCAGTCAGCAGGTTGGTCATACAAGAATGACCTTTTCTGAAACCATGCTGTTGAGGCGAGAAGAACTTTGAGGATGATAAGTATTTTAGTATACCGTCGTATACTAGGGATTCCATAATTTTGGAAGGTATGGAGAGAAGGACCACTGGTCGGTAGCTTGAGGGTTCACTGCGTCGACCTCCTTTGAAAATTGGTGTGATGTGGGCCAGCTTCCATATTTCCGGTAGTTTGCCTCTGCTTAGCGAGTGTGCAAACATCACGCTAAGTGGTGTCGCCAGGATTGAAGCTGCTTCCATCAATACAGCGGAATGAACCATATCCGGACCAGGAGAAGTGTCTTTTCTTAGGTTCTGCAGTTTACGGAGCACCAGGTCAGCACTCAGGTCCACTTCGGAAAGTCCTGTACAGGTGCAGGTGAAGCTTTCGTCAGTATGGTTGATGTGGGTCAGCTGGAATGTCCGGGAGTATTGTTCAGCCAAAAGGTTAGCGGCATCACTGTCGTCATTGGTCGGGCTATTAGGACCAAGCAGTTGGGAAACTCCAGTTTTGCCTTGTCGAAGAGAAGCTGCGTAACGGAATAAGCTCTTCGGATTGGAGACAAATTTATCGATAAGCTTGGTCTGGAACTGAAGCCTATCTTCTCTTATTGCCTTTGTGCATATGTTCCTTATATGTTTGTATTGCCTGTACGCGCCGTTGTTATCAGTTCGTTTATATTCAGCCCAACAGTGCCTTTTGCGGTTTAGCAAACGATGGGTGCGATTCTTGATGATTGGGGGTTGTTTGTAGCTTTTTGGGACCATTTTAGGAACTGAATGCTCAGTAGCACATAAGATCGTGTGCAGTAAAAAATCCCAATGAGCATCCACTTCAAGTTGAGGGTGAACATCCCAATCCACCTGTTGTAGATAGTCCTGTAAAGCTAACACATTCAAACGTTTGAAGTTCCAGCGCTTGTTGCTAGTAGGATATCGTAGCTCCGTCTTGCTGACAAAGCTGAATGATAAGACGGCGTGATCACTTTTTCCCAGGGGAGCCAGGATTGAGAGGTCGTCAACTAGGAATTCTTCATTTGGGAATACCCATTCTAAGCGCTACGGCGTCTGACTGTCTCTCCAACGGGTTGCCGACTTCACATTTTCGAATAATCCCAGGTCACCGATGAGATTGAAGAACAGAGCTTCAATAGAGTTGTCACCCCCAATGTATGTATGTTCCACGAAGTTGATTCTAGGGAGATTGAAATCCCCTAGAATCAGGATATGAGAGAATCCAAGACGCGTAGAGCGAGTTAATCCTTCCAGCAGACGTTTGTCATACTCGATGTCGGCAGTGGGCTTCCTGTAAATGACCTCAACTAGACACCTCGAGGTTGTAGACAATCTTACTGAGCACCATACTGACTCATCAAGATTGAGAAACTTTTGGTTGTGAAGTTGTTGCGCATCCAGGCATGACCGTATGTATAGTGCTACCCCACCCCCCATTCCTGTTTTTCTGTCGTTGCGAAATAAAGACATCCCAGTTATTGCTAACTCCTGGTCCGTAAACTGAGACGTTATCCAAGTTTCGGATATTCCTATCAGATGGGTATCAGTAGCGTTGCTAAGTTCACGTAGCCCATCCATTTTGTTTGGCAAGCTCGCGGCATTCGTGTATAGGCAGTTTATGCTTTCAATTTGGAACGCGTGAGCTACTTCCTGTTTGTCTATATGAGCCGTGCGTGAGTGGACAGGTAGCCTACCTATACGATGTTTACCGTGTTGGTAGTCCCTGTCCTTTAAACGTTTTTTTATGATCAAGACAGTGCACGAGTGGAATTTTCAGCTCCGGCTTTCGTTTGTGCTTGATCCTGCTGTCGTGGGGCCTATCCGAATGCATATGGATGCCAGTTGGCAACCGACGTCTATTGGCACGAAATGCTTCCAGAGTTGCAGCCGCCGTGTGAGAGGAGGGGAAGGTTATCTTCAACAGCCGGGGCCTAGAGTCTTCGTCCCTCTTGGCTAGTCGCATTACCTGTTGGGTCAATATGTTCTTGACTTTTAAGGAATGCTTAATGAATTTCCATTCCCGAATATCAGAGTTTGCTTGAGCTGGGTCAATATTTTTC